ATTTTTCAATTTAAATCGAATATACAACGATGGGCTTACTTGATTACTATATTCCAATTCAGCTTCTGCTAGTGCAGTTCTATCAATAAATAAGGTTTAAATTGAATTTAACGTGAAACACTTTTCAGATTGATTGTTTTATTTACTTGGATGATGGTGACCAGTACACTGGTTTCAAATCGCGAAAGATGATCCGTTTTGAATACAATTGATGGAAGAGATTCAGTTGATTTTTTATGTAAGCAGGATCATAGGTACGATACATATTTTCCACTTTGTTCCAATTAGCTGTGACGCCCCACGATTCAAACGCTCTCTTTTGCTCTTTAATATTAGCCGTCGCAAAGTCTCGAGCATTGCTTCGTATTTCGAGTGCATTCATTCCATCTTTAACTGATTTTGCTTTCATTTCGATGGGCAATCCATGACAATCCCAACCTGGATGATAGTGTACCTAGGGGAGAATCACAAAAGAAAAGAATAGAATTCATTTAAAATAATCGACAAATAATCGAAAAAGGATCAATAACAATTATTAAATAATAGAAAGGCAATTTTTAAGTGAATTGCCCCAAGTAGTGTACCCGATTTCCGTTGACGATTTGCGTACGAAGAATGATGTCTTTGGTTATCTATGTGATCAAATGAAAATTCTTAATGAAAATGTCTCAATTTTAATAAATCAAATATGACAAACCTTATTTACAGCATGGCCCATGTGAAGGTCACCATTCGCATACGGTGGTCCATCATGCAAAACAAACTCGGTTCCTTTCAAATATTTACGTTGCCATTCGTAAAGCGGTTTAAAGTGTTTCTGCAAAATTATCAATCGATTATTCATTCATTTTTGATAAATGAACAAAGTAAGCACCAAAAATTCATTCATACCTCTCTAATGTAGAAATCATTATCAGCTCTTTTGTTCTTTTTAATATATGTCGGGAATTTCGTCACTGGCATATTCAATGTCTTTGTGTAGATTGTTGCGAATTGACGGCATTGTAACCAACAATTTCGACCGCTTGTTGGATTCAATAAAATTTGATAAATTAAGGACATTCCTGGGCACAGTACAAGAATTTTGCCATGGATTTACAATTCCTGGTGAAACAAAACGGCGAATGGGTGCTCAAACCGTGGACAATCGCTTTTTATGACATTTAACTGTTTTCTATTTAACCTCACTTTTTGATGGAACGATGACAGAAATCTACCACACGAAATTTGAAATGAAATTCGTTATTCGAGATTCTAGTTTTAATTTCCATAGGAAAAAATTTGTGAAATAAATTTTAAAATATCTAAAAAAAAATTGGAAATAACCAATTGAAAAAAAAAATATCTACACAAATGATGAAATTTTTTTTTAATTTTGTGTTCACATTAAGAAAGTTGAACTGAAATCAAAATTTGAATTATTATACGCTCTGAAAATAGGATAATTCAAAAATTCATATTTTTCGTTCAGATATGATATCATAAATGGAGCACACGTTTTTTTTATCTTTTTTTAAAGTTATCAACAAAGAAATCTCATTTTCTGAATTAACCAAATTGTTGGATTCTGGAGATAAAAGACGTATAAATATATTTTTTTAAGTTGCAAATTGTCTTCAATTTGATTATGATAAAATTGGTTTTAATGGAAAAGTTTTTCCATTATCGCTTATTTAAAAAAAAAACTGATATTTTTATAGATTGAAGAATGTAAACAGGAGCTTCAAGTCCGAATGGTCCAATGTATTGAAAAAACATCGAGTCTTATGATTCCTGGTTTATAGAATCTCATGAGATGGGAAATTATACAGGTTATCTGAAGGAGTATTCTATTAAAAAGTAAGGATGATGCAAACAGTAAGGGTATTTTTGTCCATCTTCAAAAAAGTGAATTATTCAAACATCGTTTGAATATTTATCATGAATACAATTTAAGAATTTATCAATAAATGTCACGATTCGAATGGATGAGGATGTGACTCAAAAAGATGTATCATATAATATGCTAGTGAATGAATGCAAAAAAACGAATTATGTTGCTTTGATAACATGTAAAATCTTTATTTAATTAATAATACACCCACAAATAATGTTAATATTTCATCCCTATTAAATTATCTGCATATTTTCATTATTTGTATTGAATTTTCGAGTTTTTGTTGTTGTTGTTGTCATTATGGTTTCACTTAAAATGTTCATCCATTTGTTTTTGTGGCCCATAACTAAAAACGCTTTAAAGATCACTATTTTGAATACATTTTTTTCTTATGAAACTGAAAGGAAATTTAAAAAAGGGCAAATCCAATGCCAAAACCAACTGTACGTAGAAAATGTTAGGCAACAATTATTTGACAGCGACATGCAAACCTATCATCGCTTGGTGTTTGATTGAAATATTATGAAGAAGACAAAATATTTGTTATATATTTTTTTTGTTCCAAAATAATGAAAATTCCATGCATCAATTGTTTATTCTTGACATTAAGATAAAAGTGGTTTCATACGCAATAATTGTTCTAGATCGCATTTGTTTTTTCATTTTATTTATATCATTTAAATTGTTGAATGTTGCTTTTATTTTAAAGAAGTATTTTTATAAAAAAAAAACGGAGTCCTATTTGCATTAGTTTGACGTGATTTATATGAACCAAGTGTGGAGCATGAATTGACGATGTGTATCAATTTTCACACTATAATATTTGTTTGGTTGGTTGATTATTTATATTTATCCTTTACATCTGTTTTATTTAAACTTTTCTCCATTGGCTGCAAACATTTGCAAATTTGCAGCTTCTATTGTTGGTTTTTCATTATTGTTGGATGCTATTAATGGTTGCATGTCACTTGCATTCACATGTGTCCCAGTTGTTTCGCTCACTCATTTGCGACTTATAACTTATTTATATATCATTTACTTTACTTCCATTTTTTTTCTTTTGATTCTTGAATTTCATTGTTTTTTTTTTTATTTTATTTATTCAATCTATTTCCCATTTATTTTTCTCAGAACTCTTCATTTTCTTTGATCATCCTGTCAATCATTGGAAAATTATTAGCATGGACAGTTGTCTGAATTTCTGGGCCGATTGTTTTGGTTCGATTCCAGTTGAATTCCCGGTGGAAAATCGTTGAAACCATCCTATAAAACGATTTTCATTAACATTAGACCATCACTTTTCTACTTCATATGATCGATTTTAAAAATTTGGAAAGAAGCTCTCTTACCTCACTCTCTTGAGCTAATGCATTTTTGGCAATCGTTTGGAAAGCACGTTCGACATTGATACCTTCTTTAGCTGATGTTTCGAAGTAGGGAATATCATTTTGAGATTGACACCACTGTCCAGCCCGTTTGCTAGACACCTATGTAAAATGATTGGCAAGGATGTTTTTAATTAAATTAAAATTTGATACGGTTGATTTAAGACAGCAAAAACCTACCGATCGGTTTTCCAAGTCAACTTTATTGCCAAGAACAACGAATGGGAAGTGTTCCGGATCACGTGGACTGGCCTGGATCAAGAATTCGTCACGCCATGAGTCTAAATTCTTGAATGTATTTGGTGCAGTCACATCAAATACAAGTACACAACAATCGGCTCCGCGATAAAATGCAACACCTAACGATTGAAATCGTTCTTGACCTGCAACAATAAAAAACAACAAACATTTTGTCAAAACTGCGATAAAAGATGTGTGATATTGCCATTCAATCAATATACATACCAGCAGTATCCCAAATCTATTGCAAATGGTCACATTCGAATCGAAAACAAGCAGAAAAAAACAATGATAATTTCATTAAAAATCATGATCATGATGGTTTCAAATGCGTTTCAATGGCACATACCTGCATAGTAACAACACGATCATCGACTACCACCTCCTTTGTCAAAAAGTCAGCTCCAATCGTGGCTGTAATTCAATGACCAACACAATAATTTCAATAAACGCCAATTAACTAAATTTCTTTTACTTTGCTTACCTTTGTATTGATTCGAAAATCGTTTATTCACATATTGGTTCATGAGCGACGTTTTGCCAACACCACTTTCGCCAAGAATGATGACTTTAAGAAGTACTTTCTTTCTGCTGGCCATTTTTAATTAAATTCTGTAAAATGAAAAAAAAGAAAATGCACGTCAAAACTCAAATTCGATTTTTAAAAAAAGCACGTCGATGATGGGCGGAATCTTGACTTGACTAGCAAAATTTTGCTTGATTTGAAAAATCAATGGTTATTTTTAATTCACATGAAATGCAATATAAAAACGAAACAAAAACACACAAAATTAATCATTTGCCTATGTGAAGCGAAATTGAAAGAAAAAAAACAGCGATAAGAATGACTGCATTTCAGACGGATGCCATTCAATACGAGATTATGTATGTAATTGGCTTTATGTGCATGAGGCACTTTTTTTCTTCGCTTACTTTGAAGGCAAAACAATGTGTAAACACATTCAACATCAATTCCGAACTCACTTTCTATTCCTAATCAAATAACACACAAAAGATATATATTAAATTTCCGAACTATATATGGATTTTATATTTTGCGGGAATAAATTTTCTTGTTTGATCGAGCGATCAAATTGTAATTGACAGATTTTGTTGACTCATAGTAACTTTACGCTGGCAACAATAAGATTAATGAACAAATCACTTTTGGGATTTAGTCACAACGACAATGTTGCAACGGCAATAGTGGTAGTAATATTTTATATGAAAACAAAATAGCGACTAAACAAAAATGTGTCACACCATGAACAAAACGAATATCATATGATCACAAAGTACACATCGATAGAAACATACGCGCACATAAACTCACACACACAAAAAGAGATATGTGTGTACGCGTATGCATGGAAAGTATCAAAATACGTCGAATACAAAAGATAAGTGTTCAACGCGAGCCCGTACACAATGTTATTCATCAATAGATAAATATGGACGCGATGATATACAATGAAAATTCCGTTGAATTTCTTTGTATTGAATGTGCTATGATTGAAACGAAGAATATGAGCCTCTTTTATTTCAAACACAAATTGAAATCACAACAGAATCCAATCGTGGAATGCATTATTGCGTATTGACATCAAACGGATAGTTTTTTCCATATTCAAGATGAAAAAAAAACAAAGAAAATTTGAAACACAGAATTGAGTGTGTATGTCTATCGCGTGTATCTACTTCCAAATTTTGTGATATGAGATTTTGAATAAACGCCCTTCCCCTTTTCACTAAAACAACAACAACAAATTTTATATATCGAAATGATTTATTACAATATGCTTCGCAAAAAATCTGAATTTGTTGAAATTTCTCGTGTGTCGAATCGTTGAAAGTGAACAATTCAAAATGAAAACATGTATTTTTGTAAATATAACATGCACTTAAATGAAACTTTGAACCCATCGGATACAGCGCAAATTATACGTATTAACAAACGACAAAATTATCAACTCTCCATCCATTATGTTCATTCAGTGAATAAACCACTTTATTCGTATTTTGCTATTACGCGAAATAGAAAAGTCAAACAGCGAAAACAAAGAAAAACCGAACTACTTCGTTTCACCCAAATCAATTACATATGCACACACATAGTTCTTTGTGAATTGTGAGTTGTTTTGGTAAAAAAACGTCGAATTGAAAAAATAAAATTCGACGGAATAAATCACATTTGCTGAGAAAAAATGTTTTTTTTTTATTGCGTTCATTCAAATCTGAATGACGACGTTGATGCTTAAAATGATGCTTTTTTTTTGTAAACATCATTGAAAATCACTTAAAATCGGAATTGTTTTGATTTTTACCCAATCGTACAGTCGTTTTCTACTTCTGATGATAACTTCAACTCTTATTTTCCAGCGTTTTATTACTATTTACTTTTGTTGTTGTTATTGTAATTGAATTAAATGTTTCGATATCGTTGATTCTCTGTTTTATTTCTGAATGAAATTTCGATCGGATATTTATTTATGTTTTTATTCGAATTTATTGCACAGTGATTGTTCACCTTTCGTACCTTGTATTAAACAATGAATATAGACAGAACGAAAAAGTTATGACTCTTTTCACTGACGTTGTAGTTTATTTATTTTCCTTTATTTCGATACTTGAAGCAAATCGCTCTCTGTGTGTTTCGAATCATATGGCGACCTCTACTTGAGCACATACAAAATGGCAGTGGGGCCATTCATTCGTTTCGGGTTACATGCGTTGACTTTTTCATAACATTTACTTCGGTTCATTTTTTCAGAAACGATTTTTTTTTCTTTCATTTTCTACAACGAAATCCATATTATTGAGTGAATTGAGAAAATTATTTATTACTTTTATTCAGCGAAATTCATGTAGTGTTTTGTACAGACTGAATTTTGAATGTGGTAACACTATCGGCACACATCAATTTGCACACATTGAACAAACGTCATTGCTGTAAAACCACAAACATTTCTTTCCTATCCTGTCGCCGTAGAAAGAAGGTAGGTTTCAAAAAGTCGACCCGAAAATAATTCAAAAAAATTTCAATCATCCAATCGAATTTTTCGTTGATTTTTCCATAAATCGATTCTTTAAACATTTTCACATTGTTTTAGTGATTTCGTTTTATCGATCAAATAAAAAATCCGCAATTTTTATGATGATTGAAATTTTTCCACACACCGCGAGTGTTCAGATCAAAAGTGTTCATGGCAAATCGAATGTTTTTGTGCACTGTTCATGTTATATTTTGTTCGAAATGTCAATTTAAATCGATCAAATCACCAAATTTTATTCAAAACTAATAACAAAAAAATCGTTTTCATTTATTTTTTGCAGGATATTTCTAACTCCCTGGAAAGGTAAGAATCGTATCCGCCGCAATAAAAAAAATTGTTTCACGTTTCGTGTATTTCTAACCTCAAATTGTAAAATAGCGTATCGGTTTACCGAGTTCACATCGCACGTGCATGCCAAAGTGAAATATTTTCGGAAAAAACGTCTCTTTTTCGTTGTTATAAAATGATGATAAACAACCATGCACCATACTTAATTGTTTGACCATGTGGATAAACTATACTCAATTGTGTCTGAATAACTCGAAAAGAGGTGGAAAATACTCTCATTTATCGTGTGTGTGCACATGCAAAACTTCTACTTCACGAAAATGATCTCTGATTTTTGGATTTGTTGTTAATGCAATCAAGAAACATATTTTTTATTTTTTTTGAAAAAACGTTGTCGTTACACTTATTCCATTAACAGGTGATGAAATGAACAAAATTAAAAATGTGTGTTGGAAATGTGTGTACGATGTGTGTGACATTACTGTCATGCCGTGCACATGCAACAATCAAAGTGAAATGAAGCAAGAAGATTTTGTGATGAAAAGACAATGTGAATTTAAGGCGCCCAATTACAATTTTCTGGTTATCAAATAGACAATGATGTGACTTCTGATCAAAAATTTGTTTTGATTTCGTTGCTAGGTCTAGATTAACCATCAACCATGGGAGCCTATCGTTACATTCAAGAATTGTATCGGAAGAAACAGTCCGATGTATTGCGGTATTTGTTGCGTATTCGCGTTTGGCAATTCCGTCAATTGACAAAATTGGTGCGTTCACCACGTCCATCACGTCCAGACAAGGCACGTCGTTTGGGATTCAAGGCCAAGCAAGGCTTTGTCATCTACCGCATCCGTGTGCGTCGTGGAGGTCGTAAGCGTCCAGTTCCAAAAGGTTGCACATATGGCAAACCAAAAAGCCATGGTATCAACGAATTGAAACCATACCGATGCTTGCAATCAGTTGCTGAGGTACATTTTATTTTTCTTAATACAACCACACTTGAAAAAAGAACTAGATTATTTAATGATGATAAAAAAGTTTAACCCTGAGTTTTACTTTGAAGAATTAACTTTTGCCTTTCTTAGATGTCTGATGATATTTAGTTAAAATTATCGATTAACTCTTAATTCGTCTCATGATCGGAAGAAAATAAACTTATATTTGGTCATTTTTTCTTATTTCAAATAAACAGGAACGTGTTGGTCGTCGTTTCGGTGGTTTGAGAGTCTTGAACTCATACTGGGTTGCACAAGATTCGTCATACAAATACTTCGAAGTCATCCTTGTTGATCCAGCACATAACGCAATCCGTCGTGATCCAAAGATCAACTGGATCTGCAAAGCTGTCCAGAAACATCGTGAATTGCGCGGTCTTACTTCAGCCGGTAAAAGCTCACGTGGTCTTGGCAAAGGATATCGTTACACCCAAACCATTGGTGGTTCACGTCGTGCTGCATGGCGTCGTCGTAATCGCCTCCACTTGCGTAGAAAGCGTTAAGTTATTCGTGTATTGTCAACACAATAAATTTATATTCGATGGTTTATTTCGATTTTACATGGCATTCACATGTATTTGGAGATATTTCGTCTAATAAATTTTCTAAAAATGAAGCTATAACAAATTTGACTGTCTTTTAATTTTTTTTGCATTGTTTGTCTTCTTTTAAGCATTAAAATTATCAAAGAACTCAATTGTGTTCAGTTAGATCGAAAATAATTTTTTTAAAGGTTTTTTTTTTTTTGTTGAATTGTTGATAACTTAGCAAAGACACCTATTTTTTACCACATTTTCGGAGTTGTTTAAGTATTCAAAACAGTTTACGTGAAAAAATTTTGCTTTTATACTTGAGAGGAAAAATGTTTTCAAAAACCAAAAAACACTTCTTTGATCTCAATCCGTAAGTCATTGGAACAAAATGATGTCCTTTATTTAATCGCTTGAGTTGACTTGTGTATTTTATAGGTTGAGGCAAAAACATCTGAATTTCTAGATTTTGTCAGCTTTTAAATTACCTTTGATTGAACGGGGCAATATTTCAAAGGATTATTGACATAAATTATTATTTGAATGTAAATCAGTCAAAACGACAATGTTTCAACTGTCAAATGACTCGTTTCAAGTTCATACATTTCAATTTAAATGAAATCACATTCATATTTATCAATGAAAATCAAGTGAATGGAGTCAAACAATATTTATAGTTTTTTGCTTGGAAATTAAGTTCGAGTAAGTAACGTACTACTTGCTCGAACCTTGCTTCAAACTTACTTGCTTTCACACCTTCCAGTTGGTGTGAAAAAAAGACATTTTTTAAACATAAAGTTGTGGATTTATTATTAAGAAAACAGTGAGGGAAAGACAATTACATGCATAGGAATTTCAATATGTCGCCGTGTGTGAAACTGTTTTGTGTTTCGTTCGTATGATTTGATTCAAGAATATTACTACTTATCATTTCACATTTTTTACGTTCATTTCAATTTGTCAGTGTTGTATCTATTTTGTTTTTGTTGTTATTGATGGTATAATTTCAAATGACCATTGTGATCGAGAGTCGAATAATTATCAACGCATTTGAACAAATTCGTTGTGGGAGTTTTTATTTCATCTTCTGTGGTTTCGAACTCTTGACCGCATACGATTTAGTGTGATAGAATTCGGCGCGTCAACTGATCAAGCCAACGTGACATTAAATGATACCGATGAAGATGAATACATTCTCTTTATTTTTATATATATTTTTTTCTTTCAAAATATAACATATTTCGCACCCACAAAGTGATTAGATGGAAAAATATGTGATGCAAAAAATTATTAGAATATAAAAATCTTCATATTTTCATCGCTGGCATTTTTTAAGAACATTTAAATAAAAAAAAATCAATACTGTTGCACCCTGCAATAAATTACGTATGAAAATGTTCTTCTCCAGAATTTGAAATCAAATTACGCAAATATCTTTCCAAACGAATTCTTTATTTTTTATTTGAGCGTGATACAATGTGATGCTTATGTATATGTATCGTTTCTTGTCACAGTAGTGACAATTCTGTTTCGCATTGTATGTTTTGGTCCGTAAAATGACGATTAACAAAATGAATTTAAACAAATTATCTCAAGTATTTTTTAATATTCTGGGAATTTTTATCCATGTATGCGGGATTAGAATTTAATCCTTTTTAAAATATTAATTTTTATTCTCTTTAGTTTATATCCCATTGTTTATATAGTCACAATGAAATCGGGTGTTTTCACTTTTCGACTCGAATTAAAGGTTCAAGCTAGAAGGATTTAAACATAGGTCAAGGGAGATTGACAATTTATGGGGCCTATAGGTAATTTTTCACGAGGAATCCGAATATGTAAATAATTTTGGGGTTAGATCAGTGCTATGCAGACAATATATTTAGCTGCCGTCATCTGGATATTTCAGCTCATCTGGATGCCGTCAGCAGATGATGCGAAGTGAAAACAATAGAAGTGATTGTAATGAATGTGTGCTTGTATACTCGCTGAACGAATGAAAGAGCAGCTCACTTCTCACTCAATTCATACGGTGAGTGAGTCATTCCTCGCTCGCATCACATTTTTTGTTAAAAAATAAACACTGAAGAAAAAACATTTAAAAAATGCAAATAAAGTCGATATCAAAACGAAAAACAAGAAGAAAAAAAAGCAACAACATAGAATGTTATGGAGTTTCAATTTATTTCGGATCATACGAAAAAACCTGAATCAGCGAAAATTCTTAATTTATCATTTTACATTAAATGTTTTTGTGTGATTTTTGTTGTGTTTTGACAAATTCAAAATAATTTATTACGATTGGTTTAAAAAATGCATTTGAAAAATTTACACTGAAAATTATTGACAAAATAATTAGAAAATAGTTCATAATGCAATCATTTCAAGCGAGCATTTCACGAGTGAGTCGCTGCTCACTCATTTCTCTACTGAGTATTATTTACTCGCTCAATGGCGACTCAGAGACATGTCACACTCGCAATATAATGAGTTTTATGCAACTCACTAAAAGTGCTCGGTGCGATGCGGTAGCCCTGGGTTAGATGGGATATGGTCCCAATTTTGGGGTATTTTTCGAAATTTTCGTGAATTTGGTAGGGGGTGATGGGAGGGGAAGGGCAATTATAGTTGGCCATACATTTGAGTGCAAAATTCCTCATCCAAAAAGTGAAAAATCGACTTTTTATCATTTTACCCTAATGAGGGGGGATCTGAATTGTTGGGAGATCTGGATATTCAACGCAACTGCACAGCGCCAGAGCTGTGTGCGTCGCAAATAGAATCTATAGAAATAGGTTTAGTAGTGAATTATAGTTCGGATAAATCATGTTTCATATTCATATTTTGGCCCCACGTTCATTGCTCACAATTTGCTATGCTAATGACAGAGTTCCAGCTATACGATGCGTTGAAATCGACAATACCAAAGTGGAATCACATTAGTCTTGCTCTGAAAGTATTCTAGCTCCAAATGAGATTAATTTGTGGAGGTTTGTCGTACCTTTGGTACCTTTGGAATTTTCGGTCAAAAGATTGAAATTTTTGCATGGAAATGTGTTTTGTTTTCATCCAAATCGTTTGAAACTTCAGCAAGTGTTTGATGGAAAATGACGATTACCATCAATTTTTAATCGATATGGTTGTGCGAAGATATTTTTATATTAACTGAAAATGTCATTCACATAATGACCTACCGAGCTCTTGCGGCACTATCTAGCGTTGGGCTTTCGGTATGAAACTTTACACACGTTATTTGCACACCATATGGGAAAGTATTCCGGGGTAAGAGCGAAAAAATTTCAACTTTTGTGTTTTGGGGGCCTGTCTATTTTACAATTACAATTATAAAATCGTAAGGACAATCTTTAGAAATTTGTGGCATAGATTTAGAGCATCCTATTTTTTTCTCACGGTCAACTGTATTATGTTGGTTTTTACATATTCATGATAATTGTTGTACATAATTTGTACATTTTAATGGTATAAATGATTTTTTGAAATTTGAAGTCGACCGGAATTTGACTAGCCATCCTTTTTTGGGAGTTTTATATTGTATGTCTGGCATAACTATAATATTTCTGTGCTATCTAATTGACTCGATGGTAAGTTCATTAAGTTATTGAACGCTTCTGGATCTATTCCAGTGGATAGATAACAATAAAAAAGTGTTTTCATGCCTAGCGAAGCAGATAGGGTTCAGCTAGTTCATCTAAAAACTAACTATGAAAATCTAAAATTATCGACAAATATTGGAACATTGTAATCCACAAACTATTTTTTATGATGCAATAAAATACAGCCAGCATTTGGCGGTGAAAATAAATAATAATAATAATCTATTTATATTCTCACATAATCTAACCCAAAATCTAAAATTTTCTCTTTCCGGCTCTTTTACTTTTCCGCACACATCTAGTGTGTAAGGGGAAAGTATTGCAATGGGTCAAAATTTACGACATCTCAAAAACATGATTTCTGAGGTCAGAGAACCCGAATCAGGCCGTTTTGAGCATGGTTGTTGTGGGTCTGTTCCACACAGAAACAAGTATTCGAGTACGCTTACTCGCACTTGCGGTGCGAGACTTAGTAGAGACTTTAACCCTCAAAATGAGTTACGCACTCTATTTTACTCTATTTTTGGTGTTAGTTTCATCAAACGTATGTGACGATACACTTAGCAATCATATTCGTTATCAACGCACATATGTACTACACATGTATCTCTTTTTTCACTGTGATGCGTTTACTTCGATGAAACTTACACCAAAAACAGAGTTAAATAGAGTGCGTAACTCATGTTGGGGGGGTAAAGCCTCTACTAACACTGCAAGTGCGAGTAAGTGTACTCCGATATTTGTTTCTGTGCACGTCGTACGATGTCCTCTGTACGCAAAATGTGTCCATCGATTATATCAACCCCCAAAAAAGTTATTTAAAATCTGACTTCACGGGATGATTGGGGGTCTCGAGGAATAGAAATCATTAGATTTTGAGCGACTTTGGTTGATGGAAAAAAATTTCATGAAAAAGTGTCCAATTTTCGTCCAAAAGTCATACTTAATGTAGACTTAAACACTCAAAAATATGTATTGGAGGGTTTTTTGGCACGAGAAAACCGAATCCGACGTTAGTTTTGAGATACAATCAATTTTTGTAACAGTTTCCTTGAAAAAAGCACAAAAAATTGAATTTTTGTATGGGAGCCATGCCTGTATGCTACCTTTAATACGTGAAACTTTACACAAAAAAATGACATTCTGAAAGTTTGAAGAGATTTAAATCCCATACAAAGTTTTCAATCTTTGGCTCAAAAACGAATATTTTGTATGGGAGGTACCCTTAATTGAATCTTTGCGGAAAAAAAGTAGCTCTTATTTTTCTCCAAATAATACTGCAACATGAATTTTTTTTCACACGGTTTATTTGTTGTTATACAACAAATAAACTATTCATAAAAAACTTTATGTTGCAGTATTATTTGGAGAAAAATAAGAGCTACTTTTTCTCCGCAACGATTCAATTTTGGTTGAAATTTCTCCAAACCCTCCGAATGTTATTTTTTGTGAAAAAAATAACCTGTGCAAAGTTTCACGCCATTGAGGTAGCATACAGACATGGCTCCCATACAAAAATCCAAAAATAATTTTTATGGCAAAATTAACGTCAGACATATTTCGTTGCCAAAGTTGAAACATATTTTTTGGTCTCGAAGTTTACGCCGCCTGAAAGGCTTGAAAATTAGAACAAATATTATTTTGAACTTGCTTAATAAAATACGCAACTACCACCGCGCGGAAAAGTTCGTCTCACTCCCGTAAGACTCTTTATTTTGGAATATATCTTTCTTTAAATAAATTGAATGAGAGTAAATCATAATTCATTGATGTATTGCGACTCTTTTGAAGTATTTTACAAATATTTTACATGAATCGGTACGAATTTAACATTCGAGGGTAGAATTTTTTTTGTTTATGTATGTTTTCAAATGAATTAAATTTAACATTTGAAGATCATATTATTTATAGAATTCAGAATACACTCTTCTGGCGACTGTTTGTTTCTGAAAAAAAAAAAAATCTCGAAAAAGAAGAAATGTACATTTGATTACAGATGACTCAGATGAATCTAGATTTTTTTTTTTCATGATAAGCAGTTAATTGACCAAAAGACACACCCAAATTAGTCGATTTGATTTTTTTCCGACTTGAAATCATTTTAAGTCGATTGAAAATGGAACAAAAATGTGAAAAATCTAGTCGATTCTAATCACTTTAAGTTAATTTATTAAGTTAATTTGAAAATTCTTGACTTAACGTGACTGGATTGTTCATTTTTGTTCCATTTTCAGTTAACTTAAAACGACTTAAAACGAATTAAAGCGACTTCAATTCAAAAATGTTCCAAATTAGTCGACTCGGTACCAGTTGATTGAAATCGTGTCAAAAAAAAATTGTTGAGAAAAAGACGTAAAATTTATTATTTACTTTAACTTTCGTTTGATTTTTATTATATCTGAATATTTGAATGATAAATTAAAAGTTGCTTACAAATGTTTAATATTTCGACAATAAAATTCACATTTACTACGCACATTTAACTCAAAAGACACAAAAAAACACCACCTAATGGATGAATTCAATTACGGAAATATTTACTTCATTTTTATTTTAGTTTTAGCGCTTTAAATGTGAATTATTCATTTGAAATATTTGTTTTGTTTTGTTTTTCTCTTTATGTTATTGCAGCTCCAGATCGAGCAGATTAGAAAGATATCAATTCTTTCGTATGTAGATTATTTACTGATTTATTTATTTTGTTTTATTAATTTCTTAAATCGGTACGGATGTTTCTTGTTTTGTGTGTGTGTGTGTGTGTGTTTGTGTTGTCTTCTTTCCTTTTTTTACTTGTTTTTTTTTTTTAAATGAAATATAATTTGTTTAAATGTTCTTGATGCTCATTAATGTTATGTTTAAACTGTATCATGCGGGCACCAAATTCTTTTTATTCAGAAGTTTCGTCGTTGAAAATTTCATATGCGTTAGACATTTGCAATTTCTGTGTTGGGAGAGAGAGATAGGGAAAAAAAGAGATAAAAATGCATGTCATTAGTGATGGTTCATTTGAGAAAACAGTCGAATGAACAAAGGTCACTTTGGTACGAGTCACTTACAGGTTTATTTTCTGGTTTGAATTTGGGCATTCGATTTTCAATTTCATCTGGATTCAACGCACGTCTTGGCTTCTCTCGATTGTCCCGAGTGTCTCGATTGTCCCGACTGTCTCGATTGTCCCGACTGTCTCGATTGTCCCGACTGTCCCGATTGTCCCGATTATCTCGATTATCTCGATTATCTCTTTCATCGCGTGGCCCTCGGTTATTATAATTTCTTGACTGGTTTCTGGGTTGATTTCTATCATTTCTGTCACTTCTAAAATCAAATGTACAAAGTTCAAGTTCACTTACTTGCATACAACGTATAAGAAGTTTTCCTACCTTTGATGGTAATCACGATTGTAGTCCCGCTTATCGCGATTATAATTAGTACTTCTGTTATTATCACGATCCCGATTATTACGGCGATCTCGATCATCTGAAAATAAATTTACATCGACACATTAAGATATGGTTCTTCTTTTTTTTGTTTAGAAATTTCAACAAACGGCCAACTAATTGAAAGAATGAAAACAATGTGCACACCATTTTGCCTTCTTCTACGATCAGGGCTGTATCTCTTACGTGAAGGTGATGATGGTCTTCTATCGTCATCTTCAGGTTTTCTGCGCCAACTAATAATTTCTGGTTTATCAGCCGATTTCTTTTCGTCGCTACTTTCCAGTCCATTTGGTTCAACATCAGGATCAGTAGAGTCTGCGCACAATAAATAAAATTACAAATGCGCTCGAAAATAAAAGCAAAAATAAAAATAAAATTTACCTTGATTAGCAGCACCGGTATCAGTTGCCTCATCGTTGACCTCTGCGTCAGTGTTGACAGCAGTGGTATTGTCATCAGCATTGTCATCAGCATCAGCGGGAGCTTCGGCAGCGGCAGTTGCAGCAGCAGCTTCAGCATCTAATTTCTCTTGTTTTTCACGTTTTTCACGTTCTATTCTCTCCACTCGTTCTCTTTCCAATCGTTCTTCGATTTCACGATCCTTGGCGGCCGTATCAACTGGCTTGGCACTGCCAAAAATTGCCGCCGATGGTACGGGTGTTGGTTTTGGTCGTTCGGCTTTTTCTTTTTCCTTTTCTGTTTCGGCCGCTTCACGTTCGTCGATTTGTAAATTGAATTCTGGCATCGGTAAAGTGCGTGGTTGCAATTTTAGTCGTGGTCTCTCTTCGAGCAATGGTCTTTCCTCATTTCGGCGTCCACCATATCGGTCACCTCGATCGCCACGATCTCCGCGATCTCCACGATCGCCTCTGTCTCCACGATCGCCTCTGTCTCCACGATCGCCTCTGTCTCCACGA